CCCAGCCAGCATGGCTGGCTGGGGAATTCTGGAAGTTGAAGTCCACCCATTTTAAAGTTGTTAAGGTTGAGGACCACTGCTCCATGAGAACGGTAAGGAACTGTGGAAAAAAAGTTTCATGTCTAGCCAATTCTCAGATGGTAAAGGAGAATTGCTGTGAAGAAGGCATGGTCTTAGCAAGAGCCATGGATTTTGAAGATTTTTATCAGGCTCGCCCCAGCCCCACCATGGTCCTGTTAGAATCTAGGAAGAGAGCTATCAACCAGGCTGATTAATGGACCTACTGTAGTCAGCAGTTTCCCTGCTTCATGAATCTATTGGCTGTTAAACCTCTAAGGTGTGTGTGTTTTTTTTAATATATATGGTTTCTAAAATCCTCCACAGGACTGCTGACAAGTATCTGTAAGACTGTAAATTCATGAATGCTACTTTGCAACAGAGGCATGACTCCAGGTTCTCTCTTAACTACCAGCAAAGAGTATAAAGAGGAAGGCAGAATTAGAAATTTCTCTGCTTTCCTCACCAACAGCTTCATAATACTTCGGTTGATTCCATAAGCCAAAACGGATATACCCACCCTATAAAATTAATCTGTCCGATCCAGCTGTGATTAAGAATTGCTTGTTTCATGATTCTTGCATACAATCTCTTGGAAGTAAGCTAATGATGGCCTCTTTCCCATTTGTTCTTTCTGTTTGTAAAAGAACCTAACAATTTAGTGTATAACACCTGTCATAAAGGTTCATGTTAAGCATTATTAGGAAAGGGATTGAAAATAAATCTACCAATACTATAATGTCATTACATATGTTTGCATGTGGGATCTTGCACTCAGAACCAGTCACCACATTTGGGAAACAAAAAAAAGATTATTATAGAGTTGGAAACAGTGCAGGGAACAATCAAAATGATGAAGAGGCTCAAACTTTTCCCTTATTGGAAAAAGCTAGGATGTTTGGAATTCTTTAGCTTGGATAAAAACATGTATAAAACCATGAATGGCACAGAACTAGTGCATGCTAGGACTAAAAGGCATCTCATGAAATTGATGAGAATGACATTTAAAACAGAAAAAGTGCACAATTTTTGTCTGTGGAACTCCGTGTCACAAGATGGGGTGATGACCAGTACACTGGATAACTTAAATGGAGGACGGATATAGAGAGCAAGAAAGATGACCTTGACAGAGATAGGCCAGATCCATTATCAAAGCAACAAGGAGAAAAACAAGGCTTAAGTCCAAAACAAGCAGAAAGTAGGTGTAAGTGGCTCAGACAGACACTTCCCTGTTTCACATGGATACAAGAAGGGGAGGAGGCATGGCACAATCAGACTTGCAAGATTCTGTTATTATAGCCTCTCTCAATAAAAATAGGCTTAGCCTTCCTGTATAGTTGATTCTTGGTCTTGTCTACCTGGTGGGGCTGATAACCCATCTGTCAAGGGCTATTAGTCTTGAAGACTTAAGGTAACCTCTGGACTGGTGACAAGATGTTTTCAAAGATCCGTTCAGACCCAGGAGAAGAATAGGTCTCCATCTGTTGCTTGTGAGCATCTCCCAACTTCTGGGAGGCATAAAACATTGGATGAAGAATGCTCCATAAGATGACCGGATACAGCACGGCTATTCCTTATGTTCTTAACTTGGCTTTTCAGATGTCCCAGTGCAGAATCAGACCTGACAAAGATGGATTATAAGTTTAGAAAATAAAAGAACAAATTACCTAAGTCTTCCGTCCTCTGCGGCAGCACCTCCTGGTATTATCTTAGTAATAAATATTCCAGGATCATCCCCAATGTGTGGGTTATCTGTTCCTCCAGCAATACTGAAGCCCAGGCCTGAATTGCCCTAAAGAAAAGGGAAAGAGGGAGAGGAAAAAGCACAAGACACATATTACAGAAAGAATGTCCTCGACTACATAAATGTGATTGCTTCATAATTTAAAATATAATTAATAAAGCATTTGGCTGTTTATACCAAAGCTTGAGGGAACATTTGGAGTTGCAATCAAACAACCAGAAAGTTTTATGAAGAAAAACAGATTAGGCCCACAATTTGTTAAGGGCTGTCTATTGATTCACCTCCCATTTGCTAAAGAGCGGTGCTGTCTTGGCACCAGGGCTTTTAAAGTATCGTACTTTAATAATCCAAGTTTAGCTTATCACTGCAAAAAGCTCTGCTCTTCACGAAGACTAACTGAACAGGATTCCAGCTGCTCTTTACACTATATTCCAAAGCATTCTAAGGATAATTTCAGTTCCAGTGGTTTGCTAAATTGCTTTGGCTACAAAAGTTCTTGCAAGGCACATTGTAGGATACCACTGTGACAAAACAACCATCAGTGATGCTTTGGTACTGACCAGTTATGGATTCCTAATCTGTGTGAATTCTGGAGTGGGTGTTGGGATAAGGGAAATAACCCCAAAAGTTTATCAGAAATTTTGTTTTGCTTGGTGATTTCCTTGCTGATAGGATATTCTAATAGGACTTGGTTTAGCTACTTATCAGAGAAGAAGGAGTAGAGTTGGCATAAAGGGAGAAGTCTTCCAGGACACTTTAAGATCAGAGAGGATTCTGGGGAGGAATAACTGAGTAAACGAGGAGGTAGTTGGAAGCTAAAGTTGCTACCATGATGAAAATGGACAACCGTGGCCTAGTGACAGTTGAAAATGGACTATTATATATTGGTTTCTACTCAGAGCAAGGTTCACTGGTAAATCTACACTGGGCTGAGTAATGTTGACTAATTACGATTTATGGGATGCTGGATGAGACAGGTCAAGACTCACTGCAATGTTTGAGAATTCAGTCTGGGGGAGGAAGGGTGCTAAAGGGGAAGAGTGGTGGGGACACTCAATTAGATTATTCTAGGCTTGGTTGGGATGGAAGATATAAGAAGATCAAAGGATTGCCTTCCAGAAAATTAACCAGCCAGTCACCTATCATCTTGAGAATGGATGGTACAATGCCAATTAATTTATGTAAGCCCTTTTCCTTAGATGGTAAAGAAGAGTAGCATTAGTAATAATGGACCATGGGACATATTTGTTAGAAACATGCATATATAAGGCATGCGTCATATTGTGTGAAGATCTGCTTCCTTAGAATGCTTTTTGATAACAAATGCAGAGAAAGATGTTGTACTCTTACTTTAGTCTGGGTCAGACTATCAGTTAAGAAACTGCTAAAGAATGAAAAACAATTAGCCAAGCTGAAGCTGGTGAAAAGTGAAAGCATTTGTCTGCTGTGATTAGGCTTGGCTTATATCCAACTGCATATTTCTGTCTTTCTTTCTAAATAAAATAAAGAAAAAATGGAAATGGTGTGGCCTTGCCCTGAAGCAATCAGATCTTCAATCTGTGATTGTGTAACCCCAATGATCCCATGGATTTGGCCCACTGGGGTAGGAGGCTTGGTACCAGGAATTGGTATGATTAGCTCCCTGCCTGGCCTGGATCCCCTAAGATGAATGAGAAAAACCAGCAGGTTAACCTGCTCTCTCTCTTTAAGTGATAGTGTGTATAGGACCCTGTAGCAGAGGACAATAGATGAGTAATGATGATAATGGCGGGGAAGAGAGGACGTCTTGCTAGTCTACCCTTCACACACACACACACACACACACACACACACACAAGTTATTGAGTTGGTACTGTCTTGGGTTATTATCCAAGAAAAACTGAGGGAGAAGAATGTTCTGAAAAGAATCATGTAATGATTTTAGGAAGGAAGAGTGGCAAGGCTAACTAACAAGAGGGCAACTGGAAGAGTCCAGCAAATACTTCCTTGTTTCCACTAATGTGCGTGGAAAGAGCAGATGAGTAGGGCATCTGTTTTCTTGATATATCTTTAACCTAGAGAACATACAGTAATGCCCCCATTGGTCTTGAAATTAGCTGTTGCAGAGAAACTAAATAGAGCAGATTAGGAGAAGTCAGAAGCAACTGGGGATGGGAGAGGAAATCTTTCTGTAACAGGGACTGAACAAGTATACCCTTGGTGTAATCTATGAAATGCTGGATGGTACAACTGTCACACCATCAGGATTAGCCACAGGACCTTAGATGTTGGCCTGATAAGGTAAGAAAGAGTTGATGACATCTTAGTTGGATTATGCAATGAGATTACATAATGAGGGGAAACAAAGCCACCGACAGGAAGCCAAAGAAAGCAATTTGAATCTGATCATGGCAATACAAGCACCTTAGTTATATCATGTAAATTGCATCCTAGGGGACTGAAAGAACTTGTTGATGTTGGGAAATTCTGGAGAATGATTTTGAGAATCTTGGATGAAATAATGGGTGACTAGGGGAGAGTAAATAGTCTATTTTCCGAATGGGCAAAAGGTGGATCCAGGAAACTACAGATCAATCAGTCTGAACATGATAACTGAGAAGATAGAACATTGAGCCAATCATAACTGGTCATTTTAAAAACATGCAGTGATCTCTAGGTTAGCATGGACTTATCAAAAACAATTCTTATCAAACTAATCTTATTTCATTGTTTGGATAACCTTAAGTAGTGGGCATGCTGTAGACATGTATCTTAATTAGAACAAGGCATCTAAATCATGATAGCATACAATCATGAGATGTCATAGACAATATATCCTTGGTGAGTCGGTGGCTATATAAAAATTGAATAAATAAATAAATAAATAAATAAATAAATAAACAGATATCTATCTGGTGGATAAAAAACTGGCTTGAAAACTGCATTCAAACTGAAAATGAGCAGTTCTTTATCCAAGTGGCAGGAGGATTCAGTCCTCCTCAATAATTTTATTAATGACTTTGATGAAGTGGTGGAATAATCAGCAATATGTGGCTGCAAAAAAATGAAAACACAGTTTAGGCTGCATTGATATAAGTACAGTTTGCAAATCATGAAAAGTAATTGTTCCACTTTATTCTTCTTTGATGAGGCCCCACTTCAAGTACTGTGTCCAGTTCTGGATGTCACATTTTAAAAAGAATTCAGACAACTAGAACAGGTATAGAGAAGAATAACAAGGATGATTGGAAACTAACTCCTATGAGGACAGATTGAAGGAACTGGGAATGTTTACCCTTGAGAACAGTTATATTGACCACCAGGAGTCACTGCATGATTGGTTCATCCTTATTGGGACTCCTCAGATGTTAGTAGCCAGATGTTATTCTATGGAGTTCAAACCCTCTACCAGGAATTGAACTTATGGATCTTTGCCCTTTAGTTGACCATAAACTGTGCATTAGCTTTAGGAATTATCTTGTCCTGGTGCTCAGTGGTTGTAGGAAGGGATATCTGGAAGTTAGACATCTAGATATTTAGAAGGTGGACTGCAAATACCATTCTGATAGCTCCTAGAGAACAGAAAATTAAGAAGGGATATTAGAACTAATTAGAATTAAGAACGTCACACAGAAGAAAGTCAAGACCTGATTTCTATAATCTCAGAAGGCAGAACATAGAATAATGATCTTAAGTTACTAGATTCTGATATAATTTTAGGAGGGAAAAACCAGTAAGAGAGGTTTGACAGTGGGGCCAATTAACATGACAGGTTATAGGTTTCCCTTCATGTGGTAGACAATAGACAACCATCTGTCTGGGATATTTTAATTTGGATTCCTGCACTGAACAGGAGGTTGATACAATGGCCTAAATGACCCTTTCCAACTCCAGCTTTGTTTTTAAAAACCATTATCAAAAGCCATCTTCCGTAAAGATGCTCAGAAGAGTTTGATGAACACAAACATCAGCATATCAGGAAATGTAGTATCTGAAGATATGGAACATTCAGCATTTTGTACTAGGGAAAGCTGTCTAGATTGACTTGTGCATTTTTTCAATTCATAAAATGTTGTAAAAAATTTGTAGAACAGATTTGTGTCTGAGTATGTATAGAAATGAAATGGTCTAGATGTGGACCAATCCATGCACTCCCACAAAATTCTTCAGTAAAAAGTCACTTTGCACTGGGGGTGGGGAGGATCTTTGCAAAATATAGGAAGTAGTTTATTTTAATATATCATCATTCCATTCAATCTTGTTATCCTTCTGTCTCACTTTCAGTTACTTGATGTATAAGTGTGGGTACAGGAGTTGGAGAAGATCATGGTCGTGGCAAACCAGAGGTCTTATAAAATGGATAATGACAGGTTCCAAGAAATTATCCAGAATTGTGTGTCAGCAGTACACTGAAGGCTCTTTGGATTCTACCCAATAGAAGCAAACTCACAAAAGAAAAGGCCAGCACCTTTGCTTGTACTCTGAAATCCTGAAAATTGCTAGTAATTAATTGTCTTGTAAACCTTGACCCGATCAACAGTCAGCAAAGCTCTTGCCTTGGTTTGTTCCATTATTGAGCACATGCTCTTCTAAAAGGCATTTTGAGAGCACATGAACACACAAAAGGGCAATGTGTGGGTAAAAGATTAGTTGTGGTTCTTTTCTCCTGGGGAAATTTAAGAATCTGAACCAGGTTTTAAAAAGGCACAGTAAGGCTTTTGTCACCCTTCACAGAATAACTTATCCTCAATGGAAGGTCAAGCGCTTTAAAAGTGGGCTCAAAATGGGTTCATAATTGGGCTGGAGAGTGACATTTTGATTGTCAAGAGTTGAAAGCAGTTTCTAAAAGGGATGTCTCTCTGTGTGTGTGTCTTTCTCTCTGTGTGTACTATACCAGCAAAGTCTCTTTTTTATAACAGCCATTGGACAGTCCATTATGCCATCACAGAAACATTATAATTGCTAACATATAGTATTAATATTGTATGTCTTCGTTCTGGATATGTGTTCTTTGTTACTCATACACACAAATTGACGGTATGTTATATTGTATATGTATTTCAGTGTGC